TATGCCCTCCAGGCTAATCAGGCTAGGAAGGCTGGCGGATACATGCACCGCTCCTGAATCCAGGATCTGGCCGGCCAAGATCGGCGTCGGTGTACGCTTGTCGTCGTCGTCGTCGTCGAGCAAACGTGGGCAGGACTCGGACCGGTGCGTTGGTTTGGGTTTCTTTGCGCGGGCCGCAGACCCCTCCAACCCTTCCGGCATTTGTGCAAGGCGTTGGAGGTATACAGCGAAGGGTTCGTTAAGGAATTCGGACCCTGTAGGATTCCTTATCTGATGAGTGCGGCGGTGATATCCATGGCCAAGCCTCAATGGATGCTCCAGCGGCTTCCAGACCCTGGATTCCTTATCCAATCGTTCCTTGTCCAACGCCCTCACCGTAGGGAGGTGCTGCGAGTCCTCGTCCCCGTCCGTTCTGTCTCCGTTTCGAGCCCGCTCGTCTCATCCAAAAGCCATGGCGGACGCCTTCGACGAGGACTTCGAGGCGCTGGAGCGCGGGTTCGAGAACCAGTACCTGATGGAGGAGCTCCTCGGGCCGCGGGCTGGGCGCAGAGCGTGGCGCTGAGCCTCCTCCCCCCATGAACTCCGCGCCGTGAACATAACACGACGGAAGTTTTCTACGTGTTTGTCTGTCTGTGTGTGGGGGTTGGGGATCCGTTTCGGCCCCTGGGGGCCCTTACCGGGCCGCAGGACGTTCAGAAAACGACTCAGGACGAGCAGCCCGCCCCCCAGGAAGGGGCCGAGCCCTTGTGGGGGGCGCAGCCCCTTCCACGAGGCCTGGGCCCCAGACCGGTGTGAGACAGCAAGAATCGGCGGGCGCGCTCCCACCGCATGATTTGCATCAGACCCTCACCATCGGCAGGGGTCCGCCATCGACAACCATCAGGAAACCATAAACATATACATATATACATATATATATACATATATATATATATATATGTATGTACTAAGGTCCGCGTGGACGTGCCTCGACTTCCTACTCGACCCGCCTCTTAACCTTTGCTTTTGGGGGACTTTACTGGAACATTTTTTTGACAGGGATGGTTGGGGGTGCCGGCTTGGCCCTGGCTGATGGCCAGTAGAGTGTTGAAAGGGGTGTATACTAATACGGAACATGGATGACTCCTTCTCGAAGAGGGAAGACGAGAGTCGGAAGGACGATTTGGCTAAGCCACCTACTCCCAGAAGGTTGGTGGGACTCAGCAACGGCATCTATATATCCGTGCCGGGAAACCGGCCTAATTTGGCCTGATCCTTTCCAATCCGCCTCAACCTTGGTCAATGCATTTTAATTTGGATTGTTGACCCCCTCGATCAGGCTTTGCAGCCCTCATAATCGCTTCCACTCGGGCCAACGGTTTTGCATATATCTATACATATATGTGTATATATGTGGCCTTTCTTTGAATCTATATCTATATTCACAAGCTTGCAGTGGCGCTTCGCGCCATGCACCTTGGTCCTTAAAGTTTGGTATGCAGGCGGAATGGCAGGAAGGTCAAGCGGACAATTTAGCGATCACTCTTGGCTGCCTTTTCCAGTATCGCCGTTATAATAATGCGATTCGTTATCCTTCCTCCATGCTTCTTTTTCCTCATTCTCGCCATGCCCTGCGCATTCTCCCCATCCTCCTCAGCTCTTTTTGCGGAGGTTCCTCCTTGGAGAGCCTCTGGGGCCTCACACAAGTTTCTCAGGCTTTCTTAAAGCCTTTTGGAGGTCTCCTGGGCGTGTTCTGGGGGCCTCCTCGGGCCACTCTGCCTCCCTGAACGACCGGGTCAGGATTTGGCATTCTTTGGAGGGTGTTTTGGGGCCATCTTGGGCCGCCATGGGGCTCTCTCAGGGCCATCCTGGGACTCTTGTTGTGCCGCTTTGGGGCTCTTTTGGACTGCTTGGAGGCCCTTTCTCTTTCGGATGGTTGCGGGGCGATTTGGGAGCCTACGAGGCGGCTTCGGGCGCCCAGAAGACCGCCGTCTTGGAGCGTCGGGAAGCCTAAAAGAGGAAAACCCCACAATTCACCAAAAAACCTAAAGAAAATCAATGATTTTTGCCTCTTGGGGCCTTCTTGGGAGTGCTCTTGGCGGCCTCTTGGGACGTTTTTGAGCGATCTTTGGGGGGTATGGCGGCTTCTTGAGGGTCGTCGTGGACCATATTGGGGCTCTCTGGGGTCGTTTCAGGAGCGCGCCGGAACGCTTGGAACCCGTCTGGGGCCATCTTTGGGCTCTCGTGAGGTTCTCCCAGGTCGTCTGGAGGGTTGCCCGAAGGCCCGGGGAGGGCCAAATTCGTCAGGGGTGGGGGTGTGCGCTGTTTCTGGCGTCCCTGGCCTTATAAAGATAAACGAATAGGAATAATAATACATATGTATGCGTAGTTATGTGTATAGTCATGTGTGTCTACCCATATACGGTTTAGTCCATTAAAGTTCCCCCGATGTGTTGTCCCAACTTGAGAGTCTTGTCTTACTGTAATCGGGTGGAGCGGGTGAGGTGGACGGAGAGAAAGATGACGAGGCGGGTCGGGACTTGAATAGACTCCTTAATTAAGGATTCTCTCTTGCAGCGGGAGCCTGTTGAGTACTGGGTATTTTCTTGGAGACGGAGGCTGTTGACTAGAAGGTGTTGTCTTGGAGACGGAGGCTGTTGAATACAGGGAGGTGCATTCTACATGGAAGGCGGGCGGGCGGGCGGCGGGCGGGCGGGTCGGGATTTGAATAGACTCTTCAAGGATTCTATCTTGCAGCGGGAGCCTGTTGAGTCTTGGGTGTTCTCTTGGAGACGGAGGCTGTTGACTACAGGGAGTTGTCTTGGAGACGGAGAATGTTGAGTACGGGGGGGTGCGTGCTACACGGAAGGCGGGCGGGCGGGCGGGCGGCGGGCTTGCAGATCTTGATGTGAATTGATTCTTTACGGCTTCTCTCTTGCAGCAGGAGCCTGCTGAATTTGGGGTGTTTTCTTGGAGACGGCTGTTGAGTACAGGGAGTCATCTTGGAGACGGAGGCTATCCCCTCAAGATTCATGGAATTTCAAACGAACGGGTCTTTCGGGGAACCGCACGAAAACGTGGATATTCAGAAAACTGTGTGGGGGGATCTTGAATGCAATATACCCATTCCTACTCATATATTTGTATTGCCCAGAGACCCCCCCCCCTTACCTGGACCACCCCCCCAGGGACGCCCCGGACGCCCTTTCGGACGTCTCGACGCCCCCTGGACGCCCTTGGAAGGTCCGCTGGCCCTTCCGGGCCACCCAGGGCGCCTTGCTGGGCCTTGCGAGCAGTTTCAAGGCGATCAGATGGGTCATCGGAAAGGCGCACGAGAGACCCAAGACAGCACAAGAGCGCTCCAAGAGGAGCCTCGATGGTCTGAAGACGGCCGAAGAGGCCCCAAGGACGACCCAAGAGGGCGTTAAGAGAGCCCCCGAAGAAGCAATATCGTCCCATGCCCACCAGAAAATGTATATTTTTAGAATATCCGCTCTTGGGGTCTTCGCAGCGTCCAAGACGGCCCGATGGGCCCCCGATATCGTCCCCAGACGGCCCAAGAGGTCCCTCAGAGGGTTTGAAGACGGCCCAAGAGGGCCCCAAGACTGCCCCAGAGAGCCCCGAGACTGGTCACAAGAAGCCCCAGATGCACCCAGAAGGCTCCCAAGAGAGATCCACGAAAACTATGTGAGACCCCCAAGAAGGCCACTGGAGGCCCCAAAGTTGGGCCCCAAGGAGAGCCAGCCCCAGATGGCTTCAGAAGACCTCTGGAGTGCCCCAGCTCCCCAAGACGCCCCAAGAAGGCCCCAGGACGGCCCAAGTGGGTCCCAGGACGGCCCACACGAACACCAAAAACGCCCAGGCGGCATTCTCTTACAAACTACATCGAGCTGACCCGAAGATCATGGCTCCACGCTTGAGGCTCGAGGCTTAAATTCCTCGATCGAGTGAGACAGGTCTCCCCCCCTCCTCCCCCCTTCCGCCTCTTCAGCCCCCCCCCCCTTCATTCCTGCTCCCTTCCCGTTCCCCGTTCATGGACAAGTGCCATCGCAACAGTTTGATGTTTCGCCGTTTGCCAGCACCTTCGCGCGTGAAAAATCAGCATTCCTTCCCCACTCTTGCGAACAAGCGTGCAAGCGCATCGGGCGAACGCGGCGTCAGCAGACACCAGGGATATCAGAAAAAATGAGTCGGTCGCCCGTCCAGGCCTCGAGGTCCCTTTGCTGAAGCAAACGATGGTTTATTGCTTTGCCAGGGAAGCATCCGGAACAAGGCACATAGCGCGCAGCGCCTATGCAGTTTTGTGTATATATATAAGCATGTGCGTGCGTGTGTGACCATCCACTGATCCAGGCCCTTCACATCCTGGGTCCAAGAATGGTGTTATTGTCTGCCTTGGTCAGGCGAGGGGACGCGCGCGTTGCTCCTGGGCTCAGGATGGGCCTGGCCAGGAGCGGTGAACACGTATCGTTTTCGTCACCCTGACCCACGAAGACCTCCAAGGAGATGTCTCCCAATCCTGATCGTCCCTTTCATCCTGCCCCACCTGCTGTTCCTCCTCCTGCTCCTTCTGCGCATCCCTGGCGCAGCGCGCGCCCTACACTCGGTCCTCCTGCTGCTGCTGTTTGTTCCTCCCTCTCTCTCTCCGGAGGCTCCTGGGTGTACGGGGGGCCCGGGAGACTGGTCACAACACGTCCCAGATTTCATGTGTCTGCCGACGTCCCCCGAGGGAAAATCCAAACCGCTCAGAACAACGAGTCCACATTCAGGGATGCACCCACGGGGGGGGGGTGCTTCAAACGAAGCCCGGATCATCGAGTTTAGCTCCACGTGTTGGGACCATTGGAAAATGTACACAGTGTGGGATTGGGGTCGCCATACCTTCTATCATATCATCGAATCGAACCTCGAACCGCCTTCATCCCCTGATCCCTGTTTTCTCGACGCAGGAGCTCCTGGGCGAGGGCACGTATGGCAAGGTCTTCAAGGCTCGCAATCGGCGCTCTGGGCAGACGGTGGCGATGAAGAAAATGAAGCTGATGGAGGCGGTGCAAGAGGAGGGCCATGCGAACACGTGCGAACCCGAACCTCCTGGAACTTCTCATCGGCGGCGTGACGACGTCGATGTCTTTATGTCTGGGGTTTCGGACTCGGGGGAGTTTTGGGGCATTTTGTGATTTCTGGTGTGTGTGTGTGTGTTTGTGTGTGTTTGTGTTTTTGGAACTCTCCGTCGCCACATCTAGACGCCCGTCGGGAAGCTGTCTAGGACGGTTCCTAGGAGGGGTGCGGTGATCGGGGGAGGAAAGAATATATGATGACGCCCTGGCGGCAGAAGACCCGAAACAGCTGTACGCAGCTTCACGACGGGGGGCCACGATGGGCGATGGGCCACCGATCTCGGGGGCTGGGGTTCCCGCGCCGGGCGCGAGAAGAGTTGCACTGAACGCGCCCCTCACCCTGCAGTCTTTCGCAGTGTCCAGGCGTTCCTCGGCGGCGGGCGCGGGGGGGGAGCGAGGAGAAGTTCTTCTCAGAAGGCGGCGGGACGTCTCAGAAGGCCTCCAGCCTTCAGAGGTTTTCTGTGTTTTCGGGAAGGTTCAGGACACTTCTCAGAAGGCCCGGGGAGTTTCCGAGCCTTCTGGGAAGGCCCTTTCCTTTTCACTTCCCCCCCTCGCCCGCCGCCGAGTTCATTCGGCGTCACGGAAGACTGGTCTGACCGCACCTTGGGCCAAGTCTGGGGAGCAGCGGTATCGGCATTTTATTGTTCCCCCAGAGGGGTAGTGAGAACGCTGAACTTTGACCCTCCTGGAACTTCACGTCGACGTCTCCGTTTCGGAGGTGTTGGGCGTTTTGGAAGGGTCATCGTCGCCATGGCTGGACGTGGCTCGGGAAACAAACAGGCCAGGATGGGCTGCAAACGAGGTCCGTGGACCGATTTTGAACGAGCTTTGCTTCCCTCGGTCTTCGAGGCTTTTTGAACATTTCTTGCCCTTTTGGGGGCCTCTGGACCAGTGATTTCTGCTCCCCCACCGCTCTCCATGCTCCTCTTTTTTTGTTTTCTCTCTCTCTCTCTCTCTATCTCTTCTTCTCGCTCTCTCTCTCTCTCTTTCTCTCTCTCTCTCTCTCTCGCTACTTATCCTCTTTTTTTCCTCTCTCTCTCTCTCTTTCTCTCTCGCTCTCTCTTTCTTTCTCTCTTTCTCCCCATATAGATATTTGTTTTTCTCTGCATGTGAAGATTCCCCAGCCAGTGCTTGCACTGGGGGGGGGGATGTGCTTTCTGGAGACCTGGGCCTGCCCGGCGATCTGGCTGCCATGTGGGGACCGTCGCCGCCTCGTTGCCGCCCGTCGTCTGGGCCCGGGTGGCCGTCCTCTGCGGGACCGGGCGATTGCAAAAAAACCCTTCGGGTGGTTTGCAAAAAAACCCTTCGGTTTTTTTTGCAATCCTTCGGTTTGTTTGCAATCCTTCGGGTTTTTGTGCAATCCGTCGGCCTGGCGGCCACGTGGCCGCCGTCGCCGCCCCGCCGCCGCCCGTCGTCCGGGCCTGCTCGGCGGGCTGGCGGCCATACGTGGTCGCCGTCGCCGTCCCGTCGCTCTCGGTGCCTGCCCGTCGGCCAGGATGGGCTGCGCTGGCTCTGCACGGCCTTGCCGCGGCCTCGCCCTCGGCATTGCACTGAGCTGCACTGCTGTCCCTGCCTTGCGGCGCACTGCTCTACGGCAGGTTTGCGTCGTGTCGACCAGGGGCGACCCCAGCGCGGGCGCTCAAGGTTGAACGCCGCCGGCGGCCCAGAATCGGTCGATGTTGAACGATCGGACGTTGCGGCAGCGGCCGATCGTTCAAGGTTGAACGATCCTCGCGGCGTCAGGGACCAACGCCCAGGTCGACACGGCACGAACCTGCCGTACACCGATTTGCATCATCTTTGCTTTACTTTACATCGCACTCCGCGATGTCCAGTTGCACCGATCGGAACTGCTCTGCGCTGGATCCTCGCTGCTTTCGTTGCACTGCGTTGCACTGCTCTGCGCTGCGTTGCATTGCGTCGCTATGCATTGCCTTGGATTGCGTTGCATTGCGTTTCGTGGATTTACATTGATTTGCGCTGCGTTGCTTTGTTGTGCATTGCTTTGCATTGTTGTATATTTCGCTGCACTGCCTTGCGTTACTCTGCACCACATAAGTTTCACCATCTGTATTTCACCACCTAGGTTGTACCACCCATATTGCAGCGCATAGGTTGCAAGCAGTGAGTGTCTGGTTCCACGCTTGTAAACATCGAATGTTTTTTTCGTTTCTTATTAATATATATATATATATATACACACATATATACATATATGGACGCCCGGAAGCCCCTCTCGGCTCTGGCGATTGCGGCGGGGCTGGTGGAGGCACCAGGTGGGCGCCAAATGTCCGCCACACGATGAGGGCACCGCCGCGGCCGTGCTCCCGAGGGAGCCGTGGCATGATGGCCGCTCGAGTGTCCTTCCTTTCGCTCGCGGTCTTCAACCCATTCAGTCTCGTGGGCACCCGCGGCGAGGAGGTCAGTGCACAGCTCAAGCAAGTGCACATCGTCGCATGCCCTGGCACAAAGATCCCGAAACATCCTCATAGTGCTCATCACACTCAGAACTACGATCACCACATGGCCATTCACTTCGGCTACGGCAGGCCCAGCATGCACATCAACAATTCAGCGGGCTGCGCGATTCTCCTGAACTCGAGGTTCAAGACCAGACACATCAAGGACATCACATGCCCCCCCCAGGAACTGCTTGGACGTGGGGGCGCCATCACTCTCGAGCAGGGCGCGACCAAGCTCAAGATCATCGTAGCATACTCACCACCAGCCCCATGGGATAAGAAGAAGGTCCCGCAGTGGAGGGCCACAATGACGAAGCTTGCAGCATGGGTACACACAGAGCTGTTGTCCACACCATCGAGATTCACTCCGATCGTCATGATGGACCTGAACGATAGATTCGCCACGGGACCCGACGGTGACGAGACGGTCGGCTCCTTCCCTACTGGTCGCGAAGGAGAAGCAGGCAAACTATATCATATGAACATGCTCAACAATTACATGGCGGTGGCGAACACTTATTATGAGACGGGCCCCACATACGTGGGCAGATACCCCTCGGTCACGGAGTACATTTTCATGCCCACTGGCCTGATCTCACGAATTCAGAGCTGCCGAGTTTGGAATCATTCTGCTTATGCTCTTCAGATTTCAAGAAAGTTCAAGGACCACAAGCCCCTCGTCATCAAGATCGAGGCACCCCCATCATGCCATACGGAGGGCACGGCAATCCAGCATTTCGACCGAGACGCACTGGCACTGGATCTGAAGGAAGGCAATAAACGTGAAGAGTTTCTCAAAAGCCTCGAGGACCAGCTGACGACCCACGCGGAGTTGCTCGACACCTACCTGGACTACGAAGACGGCACATATCATTGGGGACTCACCATGCAGTGCTTTCGTGACGCGGCCTTGGAACATTTCTCATTGCAAGTACGACGGCCACAATGGTATAAGGAGGCTCGCGCCGAAAAACTCACTAAGCTAAAACAACGAGCCGACCTTCGTATTCAGCGGTCTCAGATGGAAGAAGCTAAGTCACTGGAAGAGGAGATCGAAAACTTGGACACACACATCCGCGACCTCAGCAAGAAACTTACTCGACACATCAAGGACACCAATCACAAGTACACAGAGATTCAGTGTGAAGACTTATGGCAGGCATGGCGTGATCGACGGCTCGCAGAATGTCATCGAGTCACCAAAGGCATGCTACGACACCGACTACGAGCACGACGGCGATTCTATGGCATATTACCGAGCAGCAGACCGAGCACCTACCAGTGGCAACAGTTCTTGGAACGACCAGGTGCTGAAGGAGGCTTACTCGCAGTACCAGCACCAGTTCACGTACCGACACGTGCCGAACTCCTACCAGCGCCGTCTAATATAGGACGCAGGCCAAATGCCAGCTCGATTGCCCTCGGGGATCTAGGTCCCGTGCCGCCTCGTCGCCTCTCTCATGTGCTGGATGCCTCGAATCCCCAGGTCCAGGTCCCGCCTGGCCAGGAGGCCCACTCACGGAGGCGATGCGCCCCTCTTGGGACCACGCCCGCCTTGGGTCCACCACGGCCCTGCAATCAAGGCATGGATGAAGCAGAGGCCTCGTTCGATGATATGATGAACCAAGACGAGCCCGACATGCCTTTCGAAATGGGCCCACCTACGCCTATGCCGGGCACACCACCTCCTACGGCACCGAGTGCAGCTACTTCGACTTCGAGTATCACGCCCGCGCCCAGATCGGCAAACCAGGGCCTCCAGCTCAACTTCATCACCGAGGCCGTCGACGAGCTGGCAGCAGTCACGAAACTCTTAGGCAAGGCAAAAAGACGGAAATATGCGCCTCCTTTCGCGGTCCCAGCAGAAGTATTACTCATGGTACTCCAACCTGAAGTACTACGACGACCAGGGAGAGCTCGAGGGGGGATCGGTGCTTCCAACGCACCCGTCGCAGATGAAGACCCCTCTCGGCGAAAGCTCCAGCTGTCTCAACAGTATCGACTCGGACAATCGCGCCTACTCGCAGCTCTGGCCCACGTACGACAACATGACCGTGTACCGATGCAGGCTAACACTTCACACAGCTTTCAGTTAGACAAAGGCAAGATGCTCCCTGGGCCAAGTGGACTTCGACTCATACATTGCTTCGACGTCTTCTGGAGATGTTTTTTCAGATACCTACGCGAACGAGGCTTCCCTTCTCCACCACCTGACTACGCCTATGGAGGTATTGCACGCCGACGGCGAGAATATGGCATGATCGTGACTCGAGTGATGGCTAGCAAGTTACGCAAAGCAAAAGTTGCCTTCGCAGTTCGCTCTCACGATGGACGGAATGCCTTCGGGTGTACACAGCACGCCGCGATCACAGAACACGTTCTTCCTGCATTCCGAGCAGGCGATCGGCAACTCGTGCAGCAGCGCAGGGGCGAGTCCCAGACCATCGTCGACGCGAGCGACGGCACGCTCCTGATGCGCAACAGGGAAGGAGGACTGATGGGATGCTCTAACGAACCCGACGCCTTCATGAAGGTGTACAACGCGAAGCTGGAGGAATAGCGTGAAGATACCAAGGCCACGATTTCCAACCTGATGTTGCAATCATGCGCACCAAAGTGGGACCCAGACGGACCAGTGCAGGATGCGTCTCGGCAGGTGTTCGTGGACGACATTTTGAAGTTTCACACCGCCATCAGGGTCGGCACCAAGAAGCAGGCCATGGACGCACAGGGCAACCTTCACGACGCGACCACCACTGTGAACGACGCGCTGGCCATGATCATCGAGCGCGACCTGGACTCACTACGGCGACATCTTCGGACTGGCGGATTTGGACTGAATGAATCTAAGGAGGAAATCGTTCACAGCATCCCCTCTAAGTTACAACACCGAGCATTCTTCGACGACAACCGAATCAACTGCCGCAAGCTCACCGCCATGAAGCACGTGGGAGGCATGTTTGACGGAAAGGACACCTTCGGCGCAGAAAGAGATGCACGCCTACGAGCTGCTAATTCTGGATGGAGTCAGTATCATCACTTCTGGTTCAGTCGTGCTCCGAGACGACTAAAAAGATTGGTTTTTCAGGCAGTGGTCTACGAGGCAGCGATCAGTGGCGCCGAGACTTACTACTTGCACACGACCGACTACAAAAAACTGGACACTACCCTGGGCAAGAAACTTCGTGCTATGCTGAAGGGCAAAGGCTGTATCCGCACCCAGGACCGCTACAAGTCGATATCGGCAGCTGAGGTCTGGCGACGATGGGAGATTGCACCGAGTTCAATCGAGCTGAAAGTGCGACGTCTTAAACTTCTTCAGGGCGCCGCAGCACACCCCGACGACTCCAAACAGATGGTCTCGGTCCTGTTCGGTGAACTCCAGATTGAGCATCACCTACGTGAACTCGAATTGCCCGTGGCACCACGCACGTTAGACGATGACGGCTACATCAACCCCGACGCGCACCTCATCGCTCGACAGTTTTCCACGGATATACAGGACATGCTGGTCCTGGACATCGCCGAGCCTCTGGAATACCTGGACTGGCGAGGCAACATGGTGGAGTTGTTTACAGAGCCCGACGTAGCAGAAGCTTTCTGTGGCGTCGACGTGAGCATGGTGAGGGCAGCTTACCTTCGGCGCGCCTTTGCGCCTCCTGGAGCTCTTGCAGAGCTCCCCTCAGAAGTGGCCCCGTCTGACGAGGCCGAACTGTTCATCTGCGCGCTGAAAACGTCCGAGGGTATCGCATGCATGTCCAAGTGGATGAGCGCACGAGCACTTTATGCACGCCAGCGGGGACTCGCACCAGGGGGAGAACATGGTATGTGCTGCTTATTATCACAGCTCACGATCACGAACGAGTGCATCATATGCGGTACTACATTCCCTACACGTGTGGGAGCACAACATCATATCACAGCTGCATGGAAATCACACATATGTCGCGCGGATCAGGCATGGGCACCATATCCTATCACGTCCCCGAAGACACTAACATGCCCAGTATGCTACCAGTCCTTCGAAGATTTCAGCACGATGCGCGCACATCTCCGTAGCCATCTACCTCAGGGAGCACTGGGGACTCATACGCTCTCACTGCCACAGCCTACGCCAACGCCTACACCAGCACCGCAGCCAGACATCGACGATGGCACCAGGCACGGCGAGCGTCCCGACACCAGCTCGAGCGGGTTGGCGTGCCCCCATGGAGTCCTCAGCAGCGTCTGGGAATGGTGGAGCGCGCGGAAGGCCAGAACGCTCACGGAGCCAGCCACGCAAGGGTCAGGACGGAGCAATGGACGAGGACCCGAAGTTCGACCCCAGGAAGGTGACCCTCGCTCGAGTTCGGCGCCGCCGAGGAGCAGGCTTCAAGTCGAAGCAGGCGCCGACGATGTCCCAGGAGATGAAAGACCTGCTTCTCATCATCCTCCGTGCGACGTACCAGAACACGAAGCAGGTTCGCGAGCTCAAGGGCTGCATCGTCACGACAGTGAAAGTGGAAGACAAGGATCCCTTGGTCGAGGCCATCGAGTTGGAGAACCGCAACTACGCACGCATGATCCGCCAAGAAGGCGACAATCACGGAAAGGGCCCCCCTGCCCCAGGCGCAGCTATGGCGATGATCGAGACTCTCGCCAGCCAGGACATCGGTGCGAAGTGCAAGGAGGAGCTCACTACGGCGCTCCAGCAGATCAGCGAGCTGGATGCGTTCCAGGCCCAGGACATGTTCCCGATCTGCAGGGTCGAGAAAGCGTACAAGAGCGGCTCGGCGAAGGTCATGTTCACTTGCCGCGACCCCAGCATCCGCCAGAAGATCATGGCCGCTCTCAACAATGCGAACAAGCCAGCCTGTCTCGGACCAGCCCCAGCGGGCTTCGTGGAGGACGAGCTGGCTCTCTACATGGACGCGTTGATGAACGACGAGGCGTGAGGACTACCAGTATGACAAACGACCCTGATCTGGAAATTGACGGCTACTCAATACGGCGCCTCAAAGCGACTTCCACCCATGAAGAAGTGCTCCCCCGACTGCCGTTTGCGAGTGCCTCTTCCGACGCTATGGTTCGATTTGCTCTCAGTGGGAATTCCCAAGCTGGTGCATGCAGTGGCTTGGACACTAGGATTGCACGACCGCCGACCTGTACACCACCACCTCCCACGGCACAGAGTGCAGCTACTTCGACTTCTGAGGCTGACGCCACCCGCTCCAGCTCCATACCTCCTGCTCGAGATAGGCTCGAGAGGAAAAGGCCAGCTGTTTTAGATGATCGGGGTCCCAGGTCTCAGACTCCCGCGAGTAGACCCCCTACTCCTGCGCCCGCTCGTACTTCCTCTGCTCGTGCCCCCATGCCGCCCTCTCACCCCTCTCGCTCCCCCCCAGAAGCGCGCACCAACCTACTCACCGCTAGGGGAGGGGGGCGAAGCCGAGGGCCCCAGGGGAAAGCTCGGGGTCGGGGTCGCCACCCTCGGTGAGCTGGTCTGTGTGTGCGCCGCTTCCGTGCCGCACTGCTCACAGTCATGAGCTGCGCGGTGCCTAAAGGAGACGCCAAAGTGGCGAGCACCGTCTAGGGTCTCAGCGTATTTCAACTAATACCTGATGTTTGGACCTTTGGACATTTTGGTGAGTGAGTGAGTGATGGACGCCCGGCGAAATCTTTGCATATTGGGTGAACGCGCCGGTTTCGGCCAGCTCCAGGCCCCAGAAGGGGACTCAAACCCATGGCGCTCCCCGCTCTCGTCCTCCCGATCATCGCGCGCATAAATGTAATGGGAGCATCGGTCCTTCATTCCGCATACATATATATATATATATATATATATATATATATATATATATACTGGGCGCATCTTCATTCCCTCCTTCTCTCTCTACCAGTTTCTCCCTCTCTCTCTCTCTCTTTATCTCTCTTATTATTATTATTATTAGTATTCCCTTTCTTACTTTCCATGTATATATATGTGGATACGCAAAGTTATATGTATATCGTTGTTGTTAGTTCTATCTCACTCTCTCTCTCTCTCTCTCTCCCTTTCGCGCTTTCTCTTCCTTTCCCGACTGCTCTCGCTCACGCTTTCCTTCGTTCTGTGTTCCTTCGATATACATGTAAAAACAGTTTCTTCTCTCGTTCCCTCCCTCTTCCTCCCTCCCTCCCTCCTTCCCTTCCTCTCCTTCTCTCCCTTTCCTGATTGCTATGCATGTATACAAAGATGGATTCCTTGTCCTGAGACTCTTTCTAAATTCTCCTTCGCTACTATCCACCTGAGAACCTCTTCACTTAATCTGGTTTCCACTGTTTTGATTAGGACGCCTCTCGTTCCCGCAACAGGAGGGCATCCCCAGCACGGCCCTGCGCGAGGTGGCCTTGTTGAAGGAGCTCAACCACGAGAACATCGTCAGGCTTGAGGAGGTGTTCTGCTCGCCAAAAAAGCTAGTGCTGGTCTTCGAGTACGTGGAGAAGGAGGGAGGGAGGAATCAGGAGGGAGAAGGAGGGAGGGATAATGAGGGTGGAGCGGCAACATGCGTTTGCGGTTTTGGGGCTTCCTGGGGGGAGGTCTCGTCGCCACGACGGGAATCTCGGTCGGAACGCGCGCTGGGCGTCGCGAAATGGGGGGGGCCCTAAATGGGGAGCAGCGAGGACTGCAGAGAAGGAGCCCTTCAGGGCCCAAAAGGAAGCCTTCCGGGCACGAAACCTGCACCCTTTTTCCCCCCCCCATTGATCGGCCACCATGAAGCGCCGCCGATGCGCCGCCGATGCTCCGATGCGCTCCGGTGGCCGATGCTCTCAAGTGGAGCAGGGGGACCATGAGAAGAGTCGTGAGGGTCTTGATGGTCTGGGCCGTGCGAAGGCCCCCCGCACGCCGGCGAACAGATGCGCGCCAGGCCAACAAGGCCAAGCCACCATGGCCTTGCGAGCTCCCGCACGGGAGCTGAGCAGGCCCTGCAGCGCGCGAGGGGGAGTCGCCCGCCCCCGCTCTCAGCGCACGAACACCTTATGCACTTCTGCAGCACTCGCCCGCAGAGGAGCTTGCCGGCCCCTCCACGGAGTCCAATACCTTGCAGTCGGAGGAGCATTTCACTGGTAGGCTATCACGCAGCACCTCCGTAGCATGCGGCAGGTTGGAAACCTACTCCGAGCAGCGTGCGCCATCCAGCCTGGGCCCGATGACCCCAGCTGCCAGCAAACAATCAGCCCCGAGGCACTTGTGGAGCTCCAGGTTCAGGTCGGACCGCACCTCCGAGACCGATGCATACCTAAGCCACTCGCACACGAAGAAAATCACGAACCACCCTTGGCGACTTCCCTTGGCGACCGCGCTTACCAGGAGCCAGGTCCAGACATGGCGGCCGCCACCGCGGCTCGGCCGTGCTGCTCCCTTCCAAGTCCGTACGCCCGACGAGGAGGAGGAGGAGTAGGAGGAGGAGGGGGACGACCACTGCAAACCCACGACGCATCAACAATGATGTGATCGACACTCCTTCCAAGTTCCCTCTTCACAGGTCTCTGAACGAAATTCTGCTCACTGCTGAAAGTGTCGCATTTGAAGACATCCGCACGATACTCTTCAAACTTGCCAGAACACCATTTCTGAGACTTCAGTCAGCGTGACTGTTGCGTCCTGACCAACCTGAATCGCCCCCAAACATTATTCCTGGGACATCAACCACACGAATTCTTAGAACTGCTGCAAACGTTCAATGAGCGCGTCGCTAAGGCGAGCGTGCATGTTGGAAGAGAACCGCCCGCCGTCCTTGCAGCAGTTGCAAACTTTCAAGATGAATGTGCGCGGCGCTAAGGCGAGCGCCACATTTCGAGAACCACCCGCCCTCCATCCATGAGCTTGTTGCAAATGTCCAGTTTCAGGGTGCAGAGCGGTGAGGAGGTCTCAGGTGCAACGCCTGCCCCACCCTACCGACACGTTGGGGGGTGCGGCAGGGAGGCTTTCTTTCAGAGGAGGAGGGATGGGGGAGGGGGAGAAGGACCTGAAGAAGTACATGAGATCGCTGGGCCACCCGCTGACGCCAGCCGTCATCAAGAGCCTGACCCACCAGCTGTGCCGCGGCACCGAATTCTGTCACGCCAACCGGGTCATCCACCGGGACATCAAGCCCCAGAATCTGTTGATCGAGCGCCTCGACGGAGGCAGGCTGCGCCTGAAGATCGCCGACTTCGGGCTCGCCCGCGCGTTCACCAACCCCGTGCCGAAGTACACCCACGAGGTGGTCACCGTCTGGTACCGTTTCCGCCGCTCCCCTTCTCCTGCAGACTACATAGTTAGTGTCCTCCTGCTCCTCCTCCTCCCCCTCTCCGTGCTCCCCCTCGCCCTCTGCTCTTCCTCCCTTCTCCCATGTTCCTCCTTCCTCATCCCTCCTTCCCTCCCCCCCATCCATCCGCTCTCCTCCCTCTCTCCTCCCTCTGCCTTTTCTCCGTAGCCATTTTGGCTCGAGGTATGAAAGTTCTCGGTGAACGCAGTGGGTACAGCTGAGTCGCGGATATCGAATCTTTCTCGCAGTTCGCCCTGCCAAGTCTTTCTTCCCCGTCCCTTTGCAGGTGCGTGGCCCATGGTGCACGTTCCAAGGGTTCCGACGCTGGCAAGCGCCAGGCATGGGCAGTGGAGGCAGAGGCCGAGAAAGGCTGCGAGGTCGGATGCTACAGACGATTTGCTGCGACAAAACGACGAGGAGATCGGGAGGCTCCGCGCTATCCTGGTGGGACGTCCTCAGTCTGAGCTTGATGAACCCGCCCTCGTACCCGAGCCAGAAGGTAAGGACCAGAAGAGGCTTGCCGACATTGCCAATGCGCTCAAGGTCTTGGGCCCTTGCACCTATTCCTTGGTTGTCGCAGCCAAGGAGCACCTCACAGTGGAGAGAGACGCCATCAAAGAGAAGATGGTCACCAACAAACCGTACACTGTTCAGGTGCATCGCCACACCACGCGCCTTGACACGCCCACCTGACATCATGGCCAGCATCAGGATCTGCTGGGTGACTATCATAAGCAGGAGTCAAGCCTGGAGGCCAAGACCGAGGACGTCAACAATACCATCGCGGATCTCGCGAAGGACAGTTCGCCCTCCATACGCAGCGTTGCAAGGTGCCGGCCTGGGCTCCGTGCCCACTCCAGGCTTCTTCGTGCCAGCGCTGGAGCTCCTCGTCGGCAAGCTGGGAGGGATGCTCAAGGCCATCGGCGCCAACGACACCGTCGCGACGAGTGTGGCGAGCTGCTTCGAAGCGTTGCACACCCTCACGGAGCAGAAGGAGAGGCACGAGGCTGAGGTAGAGCAGGGCCGGCCCCCTGCAGCATTGGCAGGCGCCGCTGCGGCCGGCGCCGCTGCACCAGCGACCGCGCAGTCAGCACCAGCCTCGGCGTGCCAGGTGCCCATTCCTTCGCAGCTTCGTGCAGGATGCCGCTGGAGGGGGGTTCGGGTCAGAAGAGTAGGTGCGTGAAGCAGTCAACCGTTGGACGCAAGCCGCTGAGGAGTTGGCCTGGCGTCGCAAAACTGTGCAAACGGGCGCTCGTGCAGCGTGGTTTCAGGCGGCCGACTCAGAACCCCCTGTGACCGCCACCTGATCTGATCGTGGTGGAGGGCGCCTCGACTACGGTGACGACGGCTCCAGGAAGCACAACATCTTTTTCCTCGCTTTCACTTTCGGCTATCCTGCTAGAAGTCGAGGCTTTTTGTTCGGATGTATGGGTGGTCTTATTTCCATGGTTGCTGGCACCACTTTCAGCTGGGCCTACCTCCTCCCCGCGTTGGGCCCGCAACGGTTCTCGAAACATGCGGCCAGGATCGCTGGGATCGCCGAGTGCACGGCGGCAAACGACTTGCTGGTCTGATGAGATTGGTGCGATTTACTGCCGGCCTGCATGTGGCAATTCATCATCAGTGTCCAGCATAGAGTCACAGCCAATGTCTCTTCGCACGGGCCGTTGCTGGACGTCCTGGTCATGCATGCTTGCGCGAAGGTCTTTCTGGTGCAAAGGCACCATGCTCGCGAACATCTCTGATATTCAACATCGCCTTCGCCAGATGGGCCACGCGGGTCTCGGGCCCCCCTCGCCAGACACAGGGCGTGGAGGTACCAGTGGGGGGTTTGCGGTCTTGGCACCACAGAGTTTCCGCATCAGGTTGGGGCCAAGAATGGTCATGGCAGGGTTGGTTCCAGGTAGACTGCTTGTTGCGCGTGTTCACTGGGTCCCGGGGCCTGGAGCGGCGGTGGCATCGTTCTACCTGGTGGACCCGGTCAGCCTCAGTGATGGAAAAATCTGCACATGTGCCAGGCTTGCCGTCTATGTGGCGCCGCTGAAAACGCAGCAGGACCATTGGGGCATCGATGGTGATTGGAACGTGTCGGAGCCCGTCCTGGATGATTGGCCTATTGTAGCACGTGGTTTTTCTAAGTCGCCGCCTAGCCCGGCTTGTCCTGCGTCGAAGCCTGGCGCCGTCGGGTGCTATTTCGGCTGCTCCTCGGCCATGGGCCAGCCATCCCATGAGCTACGTCGTGCTTCCAGATGCTACGGCGTCCCCGCACTTGCCCGTCAGCCTCGCGATTGAGACCACTGAGAGGGAGATGTGGGTTCGAGTTCCTGACGAGCCGTTGCAAGTCGACGAGGTGCCCATGCCCGCGCGCGCCAGGTATCTCTTGCAATCGCTTTTGGAGCGTGCGAGGAGCCTGCCCGACACCACCTGCGAGGCCATGGGGACTGTCGTTTGCTTAGGCTGTCGTGACCTGCGCGCTGACGTGCGAACTGCTGGACAGGCACGGCGTCGTCAGTCCTTGGTTGAGGAGGAGCCATCAAGGTCGCGCTGGGCCTGCCACTTGGTCTCGGAAGCAGACAGAGCCGCCAGTGCCCAGAAGTCCCCAGGCTGACCAGACCTTTTGTCGATGGGCGAGGCACCTGAGGGCCATGTGCACTCGCGCGCTGGCTTGCATCGCACGCGCCAGCGAAGGCGCCCCATGCGTGCTGGGTGAATGTCCAGCCGGTTTCTGGCCTTGTTTGATCTGGCCGCATGGCGCCTTCAGTATTGTCGCCGAGGCAGAAGGGCTGTCGCTTGCATTCCAGGTTTCTTTACTCGAGCGCCAAAGCAGATATGTATTGATGACTTGATCCAATCTGATAGGCGCGCCCTCGTCCAGAACCACAGCCTGGCCTCGTAATGCGCGAGACACGGGCAGCGGGCGGAGTTGGCCCTGACCAAGGTCGACCGCGTCATACATGCAGTGGGAATATAGAAGTGGTCAAACTGGGCGCAGCCGGCTTTTGTGATTGGGGCCACGGCTTCACGCGGGCGCTCCAAGGTCCGCGTGTTCCAGGCGGTGCTGAGCTTCACTGACCATCGTGGGCAGCCTGGATTGCTTCTTCGGCGACTGGTCCACGGCATGGGCATTGCACGGGGCTTCGAAGTTGGAGCGCCCGAGTGACTGGATGGCGCGGGAGGAGTGGCCAGTCATCGCGGGTCGCGATGGGCCAGCTATGTTGCGCGGGTTCACGCTGCGCGCGCGCCCATCGGGCATGTCAATATTCAGCCGTGGGCTCTGGGCTCGGTGTCCAGCGTCGCTGTCGACGCCGCGGCAGCCCTGTTGATGCGCCGCGAGAGCTTTTATTGCTTGCAGGACGATCGATTGCGCGCGCGCGGCTTGCGCGGCCGGCCAAGCCCGACGGAGGGCGCCGTTTCATTGATGGCACCGACGCGGTCGTCAATGTCTGGAGCAGGCTGCGCCGCCCTTTGTCTTAGCAGTGAGAGTTCTGGTGTCTGTCGGATACTTCTGGGGCTCGCGGCCTGGCGCCATAAGTCTGGGTGTGGATTTTCGGCGCGGGCTTCCCCTCGGCTGAGATGGCAGAGCTTTGGGGCCATTATTCGGCCAGCGCCATCGTGGCATGCGATGTGCTTCGAGGCCAGCATGTGAGCCGCGCTACTACAGCATGCGCGGCAGCTCAACTGGCCCCCCGCCCCATCTGGGTGCCGGCCAGATGCTGCCAGGCGCCCGGATCGGCCATGGCCCGCGCTCCCATTTCAGCCGAGTGTGCGCAATGACAGGGCAGGGCATTCACATAGCGCGCTCACACGCGCGCGATGGCCAACCTTCTCTTGCACCAAATGCTGGGCCGCATGCAGAAGTTGTTCAGCGAGGTCGTCTCGCGCGCTTAGGGCGACATCAGTTTTTGACGGTTGGGGGGGCTTCAAAAGGCCCAGCAGCTGTTCTGCGCGCTCGGCAATTCACGCCCTAGGCGTTCGAGCGCGGGGTGGCCATCCAAAGCGGCGAGAGCGGATGTGCTGCGTGCTCGCGTCGCGTCATGGCGGCGGCCGATTGATTGGTGGGCGCCCTCTAGCTGAAGGGTTCGTCGCGCATGCGCAAGTTCGGGCGCGGACGCGCCGCGGCCCGACCTGCGTCGCGCGCGGGGGCGCAAGGGGCCGACGTCCGCGGGGGCCGAGAAAGCTGATGTGCGCGCACTTGGCCGGGGTGCCACAGCCAATGTCAGAGCTTTGCGATGGGCAGGCGCGCTGCCGTGCGATGCGCGCGGTGCGGGTGCATGCGGAGTGGTGGACAGCATGGCTGGTATGCTGGCTGGCATGGCTGGCATGCTGGCTGGCATGGTGGCTCGCGCGCGTCAGTGCACTTGCATGGCGGCGACACTGGCCAACCAGTCGGGCGAGCTCCACGGCCTGATCAATAACTTCACAGTTGGGCTTGCGAGTAGGCGCGCTGTCGTTAGTTGGCAATCTTGCGTCGCTGGCTATTTTGCAGATGGCGTGGGTGCAGCTCGTGCTTGCGATGGGCTTGAATGGTCCAATGGGGAATGTCGTGGTCCGATGGGTTGCAGCGCCATAGTCCGATTGGGGCAGCGTTGCTGTCGTTGCGACGGGCCAGCCGACTGGGGCGCGAATGTCATCGGAGTGCCGCCAGCCGGGTTCAAGCGGGCGGCGCAGATGGGAGTGGGCCGGCGGCAATTGGCTGAAGTTCCGAGGCACCTTTTTCTGGAATGTTTGACGCCGCGCGGATTCGGAGCAGGTCTTTGCGCGCTAAGATTCTCGCCGCGTGGGATCCCATCGAAACGATCGAAACGGGTTGCGCTAAGCGCATTCTTGGTCGAGCGTTCCGGCAACCTGCGCGCGAGAAGGCCGCGGGCCTCAGAGTCTTAGAGGCCCGCGGGCTGCGTCCGAGTTGGAGCCCGAGGCGCCTTCGGGCATTGGTTGTTCGATTGTCCTACTCGTTTCCAGCTCCCCGTGGACCTCGACCTTGAGCCCTCTCGCTTGACGCCGCGGAGCGTGGGTATTGATCGGGGAGCCAACGGGATCAGGCTCTTGGAAAGCCAAACTGGAATGCTCTGGGGCAGGTGCACGGGGCTCACCGTTGACCCCATGCGGCCCCTCGCGCAGGCCCACGCGGGCCCTGGCTTTCCCTGGTGCGCGCGTCTGCGCTGATGGCC